GGATGAAGTTCAGCACTGTTAGACACTTTAGTCCTAGAGCATGTTTTAAGTAGCTGAGTGTTAGAGATGACAATTTACGTTGCATATTATATATATACTGTATTATTGCTCTCTACCTGCCCTATTTCTAGCCTTAAGCATTTCCTGCTGCTCCCTGTTGGGAGACAAGGTAGAAGCCACATGGGCTCTACTCGATTCTAAGCACAGGGCAGATGAGCATTATTACAAGTTTAATAAAATTGACATTTTTCACCTGCATGTTGGTATGTACACCCAGTTCCTTATGCTGTCTGTCTCCTGTCGCTAAAGGTCACCCACCTACAATTTCTCTGATTCTTCTTTTGTTTTACCTTCTCTTCCCTCCAGAGCATGCGCCTGAAGTTGATAGCCAACAACACAACGGTGGAGCGGAGGTTCAGCTCGTGGATCGGTGGCTCAATTTTGGCTTCTTTGGTGAGTAAGCAGTTCTGTCACCCCAAAATTGCCACGTGAGTATGTGGTGCAGAGTTTGTGCTACCACAGCAATCATAATCTTCTCTATCCTCGTGGTGAGGTGGAGAGAATCTATTTAAAAAAAGACAACATGAGCACTTTCATTCAAAAACAACTTGCCTCATTAAATAACTTGCCTCCTGGGGAGGAGTAACTCCCTGCACCAGTGCAGGTTGGGGGTGACCTGCTGGAGAGCAGCTCTGAGGAAAAAGACCTGGGAGTCCTGGTGGACAACAGGATGGCCATGAGCCAGCAATGGGCCCTTGTGGCCAAGAAGGCCAATGGCATCCTGGGAGGCATCAGGAAGAGTGTGAGCAGCAGGTGGAGGGAGGTCATCCTGCCCCTCTGCTCTGCCCTGGGGAGGTCCCATCTGGAGCACTGGGTCCAGTTCTGGGCTCCCCAGTTCAAGGACAGGGAACTGCTGGAGAGGGTGCAGCAGAGGGCTACAGAGATGAGGGGCCTGGAGCATCTCTCTGATGAAAAGCTGAGGGACTTGGGTCTTTTTAGTCTGGAGAAGACTGAGGGGGGACCTGATCAACACCTATAAATACTTACAGGGTGGGTGTCAGGAGGATGGGGCCAGTCTTTTTTCAGTGGTGCCCAGGGACAGGACAAGAGGTCATGGGCACAAGCTTGAACATAAGTTCCACCTAAACATGAGGAGGAACCTCTTTCCTGTGAGGGTGGCAGAGCCCTGGCAGAGGCTGCCCAGGGAGGTGGTGGAGTCTCCTTCTCTGGAGACATTCAAACCCACCTGGACACGTTCCTGTGGGACCTGCTCTGGGTGGCCCTGCTCTGGCAGGGGGTTGGACTGGGTGATCTCCAGAGGTCCCTTCCAACCCCATAGCATTCTGTGATTCTGTGATGTAAAGACTGGTTTGTTTTTTCCTCCTTTTAAAAGCTAATTGTGTTTCACTTAACCTTCATTTGTTTTCTGATTTATTTTTTTTAATCATGTGTTTTGCTGTTTTTGGTTTTTTTTTTTTTGTAGGGCACTTTCCAACAGATGTGGATTTCTAAACAAGAATATGAAGAAGGAGGGAAACAGTGTGTAGAAAGAAAATGTCCTTAGACCTCTGACTGCTGCCGGCTGCCCGCTCAGCGCTCCTTCTGTCTCATAGCTTTAGCAGACTCAGGAACGGGATGGACTCTTTTTTTGTAGAAAGTTTATATTGGATTTTTTGCATAATTCAAGTTCCATTTTAACAAACCTTAGAAATTTTTGAGAGACCTAATTGGTACTATCATAGAAAAAGGCTGTTTACATCCCTTGTAAAGCAATAATTCATGTAACAAGCATTTTATAATTTTGTATAAATGTCTATTTTTCTCTAGTATCTTTTTCCTGGGAACAGCTTTACAATTTAGCAAATAGCTAGAGGCATAACCTTACAAATGCCCCTGCAAATTTATTAAAAATCTCTTGTCTACTTTCGTATATTAGTCTTCCTTGCTGGTACTTTGGCCTTAAATCACTCTTATTTCTCTCTTAAAAAAAATAAAATTTGGTCTTTATATTTGAGCAACGTTGTGAGTACTTGGAGAGAAAGTTACTCTTTGTTTTATAAATGGAAAGTTTGTATTTAGTAATTACTGTGAAGTGACTGAGATGGGTGTAACTTTCACTCTCTGGTGAAAGTGTTACAGTCCATGGAGTGAATGTTCTATGAAGTGCTGGTTTGCTTATTTCTTGCTCTGGAGCAATTCCATTTCCATAAAGCATTTCAGTGCTTTCCACCTGATCTCTAAGAATGTATTTAATGCCTTTGTGATGTAGGTGAGAAGCAAAACGTGTTCGAGCCAGGGCAGTTGAGGTGAAGAACGGTCTCTCCAGGAGGAGGAGCATAGTCCTAGAAGAGCTCAGGATGTGGCTTGGCCTTTTCCAGGGAGCTGGAGCTGGAGGGGACAGTCACCACGTGTTTATTGTCCCTCAGCCAACTCATCCCAGGGTCAGTAAGTGCCCGCGTTTGGTGCGGGGAGCGTGCTCAGGGGCAGAGGGAGGAGGAGGAGAAGCTGTGGAGATGCAGCTCTGTGGTGCTGTTAAGCTTTGCTTTCCAACTGTGTCGTGTTCTCTACTGGGACACAACAAAGTTTTGCTCCCTAAAAGCCATGGAAAACCAAATAGCATTTAACTGATTTAAAAAAAAAACCCAAGTTTGAACAATACTGCTGTATTTTTTGCATCCTAAGACCTTGTGGGTAAATAACGAGGCCTCTAGTTGAAAAGAGTTTCACGTTACCTCCAAATAAAATAATTTATCAAAACAGCCTGGTTGTGTCCTATCGTGAAAAGCATTCGTTTGCTCTTGAGACAAAGTTGCTTGCTCTATATTTTCCTAGATCTAGATTTTCAGTTCTAGTAGATTTCTACTGACAAACTGCTTTTCTCTCACAAAATGGCACCTGATCTCTAAGAATGTATTTAATGCCTTTGTGATGTAGGTGAGAAGCAAAACGTGTTCGAGCCAGGGCAGTTGAGGTGAAGAACGGTCTCTCCAGGAGGAGGAGCTTAGTCCTAGAAGAGCTCAGGATGTGGCTTGGCCTTTTCCAGGGAGCTGGAGCTGGAGGGGACAGTCACCACGTGTTTATTGTCCCTCAGCCAACTCATCCCAGGGTCAGTAAGTGCCTGCGTTTGGTGCGGGGAGCGTGCTCAGGGGCAGAGGGAGGAGGAGGAGAAGCTGTGGAGATGCAGCTCTGTGGTGCTGTTAAGCTTTGCTTTCCAACTGTGTCGTGTTCTCTACTGGGACACAACAAAGTTTTGCTCCCTAAAAGCCATGGAAAACCAAATAGCATTTAACTGATTTAAAAAAAAACCCCAAGTTTGAACAATACTGCTGTATTTTTTGCATCCTAAGACCTTGTGGGTAAATAACGAGGCCTCTAGTTGAAAAGAGTTTCACGTTACCTCCAAATAAAATAATTTATCAAAACAGCCTGGTTGTGTCCTATCGTGAAAAGCATTCGTTTGCTCTTGAGACAAAGTTGCTTGCTCTACATTTTCCTAGATCTAGATTTTCAGTTCTAGTAGATTTCTACTGACAAACTGCTTTTCTCTCACAAAATGAGGCAAACTGAAGTCAGCTACAAGAGGTGAGGTACTTCAGTTTGTGTTCATGCAGAGTGTGGAACCTCAACTGAACTGGTACCTTAGCTCTCCTCAGTAATGCTCTATAAAGTTACTGTGGCATCAGGGAAGTACTGAGTGTCCAGGCAGCTTGTAGGCAAACTGAAGTCAGCTACAAGAGGTGAGGTACTTCAGTTTGTGTTCATGCAGAGTGTGGAACCTCAACTGAACTCATACCTCAGCTCTCCTCAGTAATGCTCTATAAAGTTACTGTAACATCAGTGAAGTACTAAGAGTGTTCAGGCAGCTTGTAGCTCTAAGTGAAGACAGAAAGTAGGCTTTTTTGCTTTTTCTTTTGGTTGGGACTATGCATTTAAAGCTTTCCTTCTGTGTCATGTGCTTAGGTTTCATTATGGCTCATCAACTGGCATCAGGGAAGTACTGAGTGTCCAGGCAGCTTGTAGATCTAAGTGAAGACAAAGTAGGCTTTTTTTGCTTTTTCTTTTGTTTGGGACTATGCATTTTAAGCTTTCTTTCTGTGTCGTGTGCTTAGGTTTCATTATGGCTCATCAACTTTTATCTTCTGTGTATCTTAAAAGAACTGCAGTCGGGTGGCAGTAGCTGTGAGTGTTGCAGCACCATAGGGAGAGCGAAAGACTTTCTGGGGTTTTCTCACCACTGCAAAGAGTTTGTGTAAGAAGTGGGTATTTTGTGTGCTGCAGAGGAGTAACTGAAGGTCAAGATGATGGAGATAAGTGCATCTATCTCCTACAGTTTTGGTTCCCTTGGAGTTTCCAGTGGTTTATCAGATTATATTGTAGCACTGAAAGATCAGTAACTTTATTCTAAGTTTCTACACAACCTCATCTGAAGGTTAAAAGCTTTCCAGCACTGAGAGCCCAGTGACTTTATTCTAACACAACCTCATCTGAAGGTTAAAAGCTTTCAGGAAGTAGGTGGTGACCATCAACTGACCACAGTAGCAGCACTTTTCTACTTCAATTTCAAATTGTTTCTAGTTTACTTTGCACACTGCAAAAAAGCATGGCACAAAATTTGAATTTTATATCTAGAAATGCAGGTATAAAGACTGCATTGTTGAAAGGTTCCACACTAAATATTTCACCACTTTTTAACAAACAGACTTAAAGCAGGGAAGAAGTTCCTTGTGGGAAAATACACCCTTTGGTTTCTTATGCTTTTATGCACAAAGCACACGTAACTTGGGTGATCATCGGGCTCTCATTTTTCTGTCTGGTTTTAATGCATATTTGTTAACCAGATCAATATTATCCCTACACTTAACTCTTTCATTTGGCACTTACTCGCTGCTTGTCACTGTTAATGATGTACATCTCATGTTTATAACAGCTGGTTAATACACCATTTTTCAAATGTTTCTAGGAACAACCGTTAGGATTAATTTGAGTTAATGCACCAAAACTGCTTTTGTAATTCCAGACCATAAATTTAATTTAGGTCAAATGCAGGATTAAAAAAAAAAGAAACAAAAGATGGAGACTGAGGAACACTCAGTTGTTTGCTGCTTTCAGAATCTGTTTTGTGTTCTGGTCACAAAGGTATTTCCAGCACGTTACTGGCTCTGAGATTTCACAGCGAGGTGAGGGAACTTCCTTTCCAAGACCTTCTGCCTTGTCTTCTCCAGGTTTTGCCTCCTTGCCCTTCTACGTAAAGATTTTTCAAGCCTGAGCCTGAAATAAAGAAGTCGGTGTGGTTAATTTCTGGGGAGCTTGTAACAGCCTGAATGAGCTCCCCCCACCCCAGTCAAATAGAGGCTCCCAATAATTAAGAACTTCTGTATTTTCAATATGCAAAAATAATTTTTTTTTTTTTCTGCTGCTTTTGAGCTCTACAGAAATTCAGCCTCTGGAAGGATTTCAGGCTGACCCTAAAGCTATTTTTACAGTGCACCTTCACAGATAACTAAGATGGGCAGAGCAAAAAAAGAAAGAGAGCAAGGTGTAACTAAAAAGCCTTGTTTTCAGCCTATTAGCTGCAAATACAAGATTACTACTATTTTTACCCTGCAAAGGAATAAGGAAGACTGAGGAACAAATTAGAAGGTAACTGTCAATGTCAAAAAACACTTTTTTTTTACCTGATGAAGCGATTCACGTGAGGTAAGTAATAGAATTTCCTCTTTTTGTATTTTTTATTCAAGTACCATGGTATTGGCCATTCCTTGTAACTGTACCTGTTAAAGAAAGAGAAAAGGGATTATAGAACATGTATTTTTGTCTTCATTCTTGGATTCTACCAGTTAAACCTGGTTACAGCAGGGTGATAAAGTGGTCTGATGGGTAGATTACAGAATTTGGATATTTACTTTCAGCTCTGGCTTGGTTTGTAACTACACCTCATCGCTGCAGGTAGACCTGTAGAAACTGGGCTTGCTTTAAGAACTGTTTGAAGGGAAGGCCCAGTATAGATAAAGATTCTTTAAAGTTATATTTTTAAAGTTACTCCTTTGTAAGAAAACTTTCAAAAGCTTATTTGAACAAACTGTGTAAAGAGAGCTTCTTTGGGGACAGGGTTTCCATGCAGAAGGAGGTGTGAGGAAGCCTTACCCAAAGGCTTGTATCAAGTGGTTGGTGCATTTAGTACCCTGCTGATTTTTATTTAATGGGTAAACAAAAGGATAACAACTGAAAAATCACCATCGTAATAGTGTGGTAACCTGTTGTCTGTACTGTTCCTGCAGAGCTGAATGCTGTAATTAGTGCTTCAGATACCAGTAGGATGAGGATAAAATAGGTTAATGAAATAGCAGGTCCTGCCAGAGCCTTCAGCATCATCGCCTGAAATTACAGACTGCTGAAAGTATCCAGACAATAAATCATTCTAAAGGTAGAAGTTTCTAAGTTAAATAAGACTACGTAGGAAATTCCAAGGGCTGTTTAGGTGGTCTCAGGCAGTGATTTGGGTGGTTGTCCCCCAGTTTGTGGGTTTTGCATTATAACTAGGGAAACTGGGATAGTTCAACTGGAACAGCAGTCCCTGGTTTGTTCATGTGTTACAGAACAGCTACAGTAACTGACATCCCCCTCCTGCAGAAACCATATTAGTTGCATGGAACTGATTTTGTTATAATTACTGGTTGAGTTTGCCACTGAATTATTTAGCAACAATTATAACCACATTGAAAAAAAAAACAAAACAAAACACAAAACTAAACAAAAAAAACCTCAAGAACCTTAATGCTGACTAGAAAACATGTTTCTTTTTATACATCCTTTCTTGATTAGATAAGGGTTTTCTGATAAAAAGAGATACCACATGAAGAATTCACATGTATGAAACAAAAAGCTCCCTTTTTCCCTACCAGTAGGTGCGTCCCAAGAAGTCGTGTCTCCACTCCCCAGGTACTGGTTTCTCGTGGCCCGTTTGCAAAAGCCTCAAAGCAATTTCTCTTTCTCTGACAACCAAGTCTATATTTTTCATAGATTTTGTTACCTGGAAATAGGAAATAGTTTTAGGATGGGCCAAAAAAAAACCCAATGCTGACAGTTTAAGTGATATCTAAAGTCTGGTCACAGCCTCAGCGATGCCCGTTGCCCACACAGGAGGCACCTTGACCTAAGTTTGACACTTGAGGTGATGGTTTTTAGTAACACACATTACATGTGGCAACATATTAAATGCTCTGGGAAGCTGCTAGAGCTAATTTTAATATGCAGATTGTTGCATTTTGTCTCCATTTACTAGTCCTTGATTCTACTTTTCTTGTGCTTTAGCCAGAACCGAACAAGCGGTTAGTGAGAATGGACTTTTTGAAGCACTGGGACCACCCGCTTCAGTTCCCTCCCAAAACCAGTTCCTCTGGGATTCGTAGTTGCTGAGTATGGAAGTGTGGGTGGGACTAAGAAAATGCTGTTCAGAAACAGTGAAAAAGTGAAAATAAATAAAAAAAAAATAATAAAAAAATCCGCATCTGACACAATGCAGAGATCGTAATATCGCTGCAGATGTGATGGCAAGTAACAGTTCAATGATTAATGATACAAAGAAATTGAGGGGAGCACTGTAAAGGTCAGACTCTTCCCAAATTCACTGGATAAATAGGGGCTATTTTAACAAAACTTTATATAGATATAGAATACATTTTTATATAAAATAAATCCCAGCTGGATTATTTAGCTGGCCAGTGAAGGTGTAAATTTCCATCTGTGAGACATAAGCACAGAGATGGCAGCTGATTTATAAGTAAATGAAGTTTTCAATGATACTGAAGAAATAATTTAATGAATGAGTGGCAGAATCACAACAATGCAAAAGAAATAGGGGACAACAAAAACAAGGGCAGCAGCAAACTAAAAGACACAAGTTTGGAGAAGATGGTGTCAGGCAAGAAGCTGGTAACAGTTAAAAGATTTAAAAAAAAGTTTGTGAGGAAGTCTCTAGAAATCCTCTAGTGCAGTGCCAGAGCATGAAAATTGCAAAATTTCTTAGTATTATAAAATTAATATTAAAATTTCTTAGTATTATATAGCAGGTGGAGAGGCCTTTCCCACCGCATTGCTTGAGCACTGTGTTTGTGCTTATACTAAAACCAGGCAATTAATTTTAAAAATGGTCTTTAACGAGTTTACAAACACTTCACCTTTCACTCAGCAGTTTCACCTGGAGTTATATTTTTTGCTAATACAAAACATTTACCTTTTCTAATCGTTCTGGGCTGGGCATAGGCTTGAGCTGGCGTTTTGATTCTTGCTCTAAAGTTAGCAGCATGTTTTTTTCCTTCAGTAGGACATACCTAGATCAGAAAGCACAGGACTTCAGAAATAACTTCTAGACTTGTGGGCAATTATTCACTCGCTCCCCTGCTGGATAGAGAGAGCACAGTTGTCCAACCTATATAATTCCATATCCCATACCCGTCAGCTTCATATAAAACAGCAAAAATACTGAAAATACAGGAGAAAAGCCAGCAGAGGGAAGCTGCTGTTTCCTGGCTGTTAAGTTTCTTAGCCACGTTTTAATAAAGTGGGCAGAGCTGCTTGGAAAGAAACTACTTCACTAAAACTTACTTACCAAAGTTTGTGTAAGTCTTCACTGCTCTTGCCCCTTAGCTGCTTTATGTTCCATGCATCCCCTGTAAGAAAAACAACAAGAAATATAAATTTAATAGGACAAAGTTCTCTTATTCTGAAAAAAAACCAAAACATGAGCAGGCTCAGCTGACTCAACAGAACAAGGATCACTTAAAAAAAAATACTACCTCTTGAAAAAACTCTCCTTGTAGATATTCAGCTTTGCTTTAAATATATGAATAGATTCAAAAGGCAAATACATACAGTGTTAAAGGCTGAGCACAAAGAAAGCTGTAAGATGAATCTTTACGTTGCAATATTACCACAGAATCTTAATGGTTGGAAAGGACCTTGACATACAGTGTTTGTTAAAGGCTGAGCACAGAGAAAGCTTTAAGATGAGTTTTTACGTTGTGATATTACCAAAGAATCTTAATGGTTGGAAAGGACCTCTGAGATCATTGTGTCCAACCAAATATCCTCCCCTGGTACCGTGTATTTCATCTCTTCTGTGGAACACTCTCACTTAAGAGCAAGGCAGAGGGCTTACAGCAAAATATTTTGCTGCATAATAGCTATTTGCTTTCCTAAGTCACAGAAAAAAAATAAAATTTACAGATGTAAAAAGCACAAGTACATGTATGTAAGTATAAAAGTATTATGTAGCTATTTTCCTAAGTCACAGAAAAAAATAAAATTTACAGACATAAAAAGCACAAGTACGTGTATGTAAGTATAAAAGTATTATGTAGCTATGAATAGTTTCTCTAGTGGAAAAGACTAGGTTGGGTTTCAGCTCAGAAATCACTGTCAGAAATGCTAAACAGAACTCACCTGACTTCACTGTTTTTTCTCCCCAGTTTCTCGGATCATCAAAAAACTCCTCCAGGCCTTTCCGAGGCAGAGTAGTGTGCACAGACCTCAGCTGGCGGAGGGGCTCAGCCTTCTCTGGGTTCTTGGGGAGTAGGTTCTGGGTCAATCTGCATAAAAAATTAAGGGGACATTAGATATGAAACATTAGATAGATAGATATGAGAAGAAAAGAAACGTTTGGTTAAAGGAGGGAGTTTCCTTTGTTCCTAAAGGCAGCTGAAGGCCCCACAGACCGGCGAATACCACGGTCTAGGGGGCGAAGATGTGAGCTCAGCTCTTCATAAAATGTCACTTAATAAAACGTGTCACAGCGTTGCTTCCTCCTCTACCCTCTGTTTATCGTTTCTCCACAATCAGGGATAAATAACCATTTGAAAATTAAAAGAAAGAGTAAGTTTGAGCTACGCTGTGCATAAATCTCCTCCTGCACTGGCTTTAACTAAACGGCAAAAGCTATAGACGCGGAATAAACACCAAAACCCTCACGCCGCACATGAGGACCGCAGAGGGCACCCCCTCACGCCGCCTTTCCGCGCCTCTCCGCGCCCCCTCAGGGCACAACCCGCCCCGCGGCCCTGCCCGCTGGGCCACACACCCGGCCGACGCGGGGGCAAGGCCTCTACGGGCGGCTTTCCTCCCCTAGGGAACCCGCTACGGCCCGGTTTACCGAGCCCCGGCCTCTCCCGCCCCGGTGCTCACCCGGGGAGCCCGCCCGCCGCCGAGCCCAGCCGCAGGGCGCCCGTGAGGCGCCGGCACAGGGCGGCCATCCCCACGGCGGCCGCCATTGCCGCCGGCCGCCCTACCCACAATGCCCTGCACCGGAAGGAGGGTCTGCCCTTCTCTAAGATGGCGGCCGCTTAGCTTCACCTTGGGGCGTAGAGAGGGCGCCGCCGGCCCCGCCTCCCTACCCCCCGCCAGTTCCAGCCATGGCGGCCATGAGCCTGCTGCTGCGGGCAGCGGCGGCCTGGGGAGCGCGGCGGGCGGCCAGCGGCGCGGCGGGCGGCGTTCGTCTCCCCTGGCTCGCTGGGGCCGCCCGCCTCCCCGGCACCGTCGGTAGGACCTCGGTGGCGGCGGCGGGAGTGAGGGGGGAGCGGGTGTGCTAGGGGAGAGGTGACCTTGGGGAGCGGAGGAGCGGGCGGCGGCTGAGGAGGACCCCGCCGAGGAGAGGGGGGTCCCCGGTTGAGGAGAGGAGGGGACGCTGGCTGAGGAGAACGATCCTCCTGAGGAGAGGGGGGACCCCGGCTGAGGAGAAGGACCTCCCTGAGGAGAGGGGGAGTCCCGGCTGAGGAGAAGGACCTCGGCCGAGGAGAGGAGGGGTCTCCGGCTGAGGAGAGAGGGGCATCCCTGGCTGAGTAGGAGAATCTCCGGCTGAGGGGATGGGGGTCCCCGACCGAGAAGGACCCTGGCTGAGGAGAGGGGGGGTCCCCGGCTGAGGAGAAGGACCACACTGAGGAGCAGGAGCCCCCTGAGGAGAAGGGGGATCCCGGCTGAGGGGTGCTCGCCTCAGGGGGTGCAATGGGTGTCTCCCATTTCTCTGAGAAACTGTCAGTTCTTGGGCAGAAGGTGGATGGAATTGGTGGGAGGCCGAGCTTCCCACCGTGCTAACCTGCAAATTGACTCGGATAACGACGTTCTGTCACTTATTTGTGGGGACTTGCAGGTAGAAATAGATCTTGTGCCCACAGTTAGAAGAAAAATAGGTTTGTTTTAGCAAAGTGGGAAATTAGTTCTGTCGGGCTTTTAGGAACATTGATTTCCTCTGGAAGACCAGCTCGTAACTCCTCAGCCGCTGTTCTGTGTTGCTTTTTGCTTTTCCCCACGTGTGTTGTTGACCTTATCCTGGCACAATCACCAAAGGGAGAAAAAAAACCCCACCATAATGCTTTGGTTCCATTTGGTCAATTTCCAGCTCCTGTACGACACAGCAGCGGCCATGGGAAGAAAATGTTTATTATCAAGGCCACGAGTTTTTATGATACTCGATTTCTCAACTTGTTGGTGAGTTAAGACCAAATTTATTACATTCAATATAACGCATCCCTTACAAATGGTGTAAGAGTGTTTTAAGTACAATTTTGTCTGTTGTTTACGTGACAGCACCTAAAACATGGTTGGTACTGTTCACATAAACGAGAATTTCCACCCCCCTCCTAAAGAATTTTTTTGTCCTACGTTGTAAGTTCAGGGGCAGATGAAGTAAAAAGATCCACGATTGGTGAAGCAGCAGAGACTGTGATGGGTGCTTAAATTAACGCTGCAGTAGCGTTCTTAAATGATATATCTGGGGTCATATATGCGTAACCTACAAACACTTTCCACTCCACCCTCGTTTTTCAGACGTATTGTGTTACTCTTCTGCTGGGTTTTTCCCCTCAGTTATTTAAACCGCTAAGACCAGAGATTAGACTGGGGAAGCCCGACCTGCGCTTGACCTCTAAAAAGCCACGTTTCAGATAAAGACTTGCCTGTATTATTTTTTTGCTTTTTATCCCCTCTACAGAGATTCTATATATTTCTGACGGGAATACCAGTGGCGCTGTTCATAACGTACGTCAACGTCTTCATCGGTGAGTGCTCTCTCGTGACTAAGCTAAGTACAAAGTCAAAAATTTATTAAACGGAAACTAAGGGGGCTGGGTGAAAAAAGAGACATCTTTTAAGGCTCGCTCTTCAGAAGACCATGAAATAAGCCTAACCATTGTGATAACACTGTATAAGTACATAGAAGATCTTCCCAGTATTTTCATTTTTCTGTAGTTGTTGCTTTTTTCTTCAAAAAAAGCTTTCCACACTTTTAAAAATATGTAAAAATCCCATCTTTTGAGAGTCTTTGCAACACCTGTGAGCTTTGGCCAAAAAGCCAAAATTCTGCTTGGCAATATGTGTTTTAAATCTACTACTGCAATAATACGGAATTAATTTAATAGAGAAATTATTGGCCAAAATCCCAAAATTCTGCTTAACAATGTGTTTTAAATCTACTACTGTAATAATACGGAATTAATTTAATAGAGAAATTAGGAAACATCCATGCTTTCAGCTTATATCCTTTACAGGGCATTTCTGTGGACTTGATTTTATTTATTTCTTCTGCGTAGCTGCTAATTTCACCCTTTTGTTGTGTGGCTTAAAGCCTATGGATTAGATACACGCAGTATTGAGGGAAACGTCTGGAAAAATCACAAGTCCGATTTTTCTGAATAGAGCTGAGATTGAGGGCTGAAGTACTCTCCACATAAAATAATGATCTTTTCCTGATGTGAAAGACAGAATAGAAGCTACTTAAAAAAATAATACTTGAATGACATGTTCCTCCCTTCTTTTCCTTGTCAGGTGAAGCTGAACTTGCGGAGATTCCTGAAGGCTATGTTCCAGAGTACTGGGAATACTACAAGGTGAGTGAAATGCGTAAAAGGGTGGCATGTTGTGGACAGCTTTCCTCTTCACAGAATCACAGCATGCTGTGGGGACCTCTGGAGATCATCTAGTCCCGCGTAAAAGGGTGGCATGTTATGGATGGCCTTCCTCTTCACAGCATCACAGAGTGCTGTGGGGTTGGAAGGGACCTCTGGAGATCATCTAGTCCAACCCCCCCTACCAGAGCAGGTCCACCCAGAGCAGGTCCCACAGGAATGTGTCCAGGTGGGGTTCGAAACTCCACCACCTCCCTGGGCAGCCTCTTCCAGGGCTCTGCCACCCTCACAGGAAAGAAGTTCCTCCTCATGTTTAGATGGAAAGACTGGCCCCATCGTTTGTGCCCGTGACCTCTTGTCCCTGGGCACCACTGAAAAAAGACTGGCCCCATCCTCATGATGTCCACCCTTTAAGTGTTCACAGGTGTTGATCAGATCCTCCCTCAGTCTTGTTCACAGGTGTTGATCAGATTCCCCCTTAGTCTTCTCCAGACTAAAAAGACCCAAGTCCCTCAGCCTTTCCTCATCAGAGAGATGTTCTAGGCTGCTCATCATCTTGATAGCCTTCTGCTGTCCCCTTTCCAGCAATTCCCTGCCCATCTTGAACTGGGGAGCCCAGAACTGGACACTCTTGATGGTATTTTGGGGAGTAAAATGTGAGGAGTACACTAGTGAGGATGGCCACATCCCTGCCAGTGGGTGTCAGTGCAGTAGAACTGGGAACATGAAATATCATTTAGTTACAATGACCTTTCTACTTGGAAATTGGGTGAATAATCTCTGCTTTTGCATTTTCCAGCACCCTATAAGTCGCTGGATAGCTCGTTACTTCCTTGACCCCCCTGAAAAGCACTATGAGAAACAGATGGCTTTGCTTGACATCGAAGCGAGGAAAACTGAGCTGAGGTACGTTACATTGTTGAGGGTTTTAAAATCCAGATACGGACTGTAGCTGAGAGGGACGGTCTGGTAAAACAACAAACAGCATCTCTTCAAAAGGGTTCATATCCAGAAAGGTGTCTTTAGCTCTGTCTTCCTGAACCAGGAAACGGACAGCTTTTGGCCTCTGCTAAGCATCTCTTCTAAAGGGTTCATATCCAGAAAGCTCTGTCTTCCTGACTCAGGAAACGGACAGCTTTTGGCCTCTGCTAATGCTCATGGCTTAATTGAGTAGCTAAATGAGAGATGACAGGACTCGTGTTCCTTGCTGCTGTTGGAGACGTTGTGGGCAGGAACCACACTGTTGTACTGAGTTCATTGTGCACTCAGAGGAAACTGTGGTGGTAGAAGACAGTCCGAGTTCCACGAACTGCTGCTGATGGGACCACAACAGCAGAGCTCCTTCTGCCATCACGTTTACTTCTGATTTTTTTGCTCCTATATTTTTTTTTTAGTTGAAAGCTATATCAAAATAGTCTAGCCCCTTACTAAGTGAGACCCTGTGACAGAACTCCTGCAAGTATTTTTATTACTCTCTTGTGAGACAACTTGAAAAAAATTGAAAGAGAGAGATGCAACAGCTCATGCTTTAGCCAAAATCTTCCTATTTTGGTATTGCCCGTGGTTCAGTAGTATTTATAAAGCGTAGATGCTAAACTCCGGGCTGCTGTCAGTAATGCCCTGATGTTAAACATTGATATATGTATGATCAAAGCTAATAAACCTGCACTGACTGTGTCTGTTGCTTTTGTTTTTTCCAGGCTGACGGAGCTGGAGGCGCGCAGGCTGATGAGGCACAGGGGGGATGGACCTTGGTATCATTACGAAACACCTGACAAAAACCTTGTTGACAATTCTATGAAATCCACACCTGACAATTAAACAGTTTTGTGGGGGTATGCATGGTCTTAAGCGCATACCAACAAATTGTGCCTGAGCTATAGAATATGTACATCCTGCTGTTTTACTGACTGCAGTGAATAAAAATAAACAACATTTGCGTTGATTGCAATAATTTGAAAGAAGCCGTGTGGCAGTTCATCTCAGCTGTTCAAGTTGTTAATCAGAAAAAATGCCTTACCTCAGGTGCCAACAATTACTCTTCCCCAGAACATCAATGTAGAATGGACTTTGTGACCTGACAGATGTGAAACAATTTGGTAATATTAGTCTTCATCACATGATTTCTAGTATTTAACGTTTTAAATGAAAAGTACAGGAAACTGCAAGGCTTTGTTCTTTCACAGTGCCTTGTGGAAAATGAACAAAGAAAGAAAAATATCTTCAGATCTTTGGGTTATTAGGATTATATCTACAGCTTTAGACAAATTCTTTTCCTGTTTTTTCCCAGCTTGCATGGTGTTCGATGTCTCTTCTCATTTTCTCTGCATTATCTCCAAAGTTTCTCTCTTTAGATAGGTCTCTTCATCCCCGATAGTGTCCAGCCCTGCTGCTTGTCCTTTATTAGTTTTGTCACCAGTTTGTAGCTTTTTTCCTCTTGTATATGCATCATTTATGCTTGTCTGCTCTTTTGTTTTACCCAGTCTCACCTCCTATACAGTCTGTGTCTGGAAAAGACTTTAAAGACTATTTAAAAAAACCCCAAACAAAAAAAAACCCACAACAACAACCCAACACCCAAAGATGACTGAGAGAATTCTGTGCATCTTTCAGGACTGGGCACTTATCTGTGTAAATCACCCCAAAGGTGGTCTTTCTAGAATGTCTTTCTATGTTACTCTGGTTATTTTTTTGTTTGGTTGGTTTGTGGGGTTTTTTTAATGGTTTGGTTTTACATGAAGTTTAAAAGCATAACAAGGAAGAACCTAAGTGGACAAATATTCAACTTAGTGTTTTCCTAGTAGCTGCTCTGTATCTAACATTTTTTAGCAATATATTCAAGTTATTGATACTGTTTTTAGCTTTTTACTTCCTGGAACAGTCTTAGTAAGATGAACAAGGGAAAAATAGGAAATGGAAGGTTGTTATGGAAGGAGCAGTAATTGTCTGGAGAGCAAGGATGAAGGCAGGGAGAATGGGAGAGGCTGCTCGTTAATGAGTTTTATGGATCATCTTATCAATGCTGGGTGAACAGATACCATCTTCTACACAGCTTTTAGTACATAAAAATATAAGTCTTGACAGCAAAATCTCAAAGTCTTCAAACTTTATACTCCCAATGCATTTAGCGTAAAGAGCCCACATAAGCAATTTTGGAGATGAGAAGGGTAAACCTTTCTGGTAACACTGAGGCTAACTCAAAGGCTTCTTTTCAAGGATGAACTGGAATTAAAAAAGCAAACAAGAAGAGTTTATATGGAAGTGAAAATGTGCCATGCAACTGCTATTCACCAAGGAAAAATGAAGAAATAAATAAGACAAGCTGCATCTGAGGACATCCACACACATACCTACATTTTCAGAACTGTACAGCTGTTTCTACACCCCTTCTGACAATGACCTTGATCTGGCAGACCTGCCACTAGAGGGATGTGCTTCCTCAGGTTCTACCGGCCGCGGTGCCTCCCTGGATTTAATGCCTCAAGAGGGCAATGGGAAGTGCCTCTCACAGTTTGTGACCCTAAACTACCCGTCCGTATTCAAAATTCCCACTTTTTTAAGGAAATAAGGCCAAGTTCTTTAGTAACTCCTGATCACCTTGTGGCTTCAAACTTAAAACGCATAGATTTTCTTTCTGTACGTTAAGCACAGGCTATTGTAAACAAAGACCGCCTTGTTTGCTGTTTCTTAGCACTGCCAAATATTAGGAAGACTCTGATTTTGTATCAGTGCTTTGACTTGTCCTTTTTGCTTGAGTCAATCTTTCAGGTTAGACTGTTTGAATGTCCTTATTATGGCTCTTATTGTCCATAAAAGCCGACTTAATTGTAACAGAAGCCATTAAAAAAGCATGAAGTTTTCTCAGGTAGAATAAATCTGTCTGGTGGGCCTGTATTATTTTGTGGTTTTTATCCAGCATCCAACCGTTCTTGAGTTCTAAGGCCATTCTGTTACAAGGCCACTCCACTGACACCATATTCTGCCCTCTCTATTTCACATTGTTCCCAACACTTGATTTTTTTTTTTTTTTGCTAGAAAAATTGCTGGGAACAAACTACACTGGGCTGCTTGCTCTCACAGCCTGCTTCTTCACAGCTGGATGCAACATCATACGAGATATTTCAGTGCTGTCGGGGGATTTTTTCTTACTTTATTTTTTCAATTCTGTTGGGATTCTAGTAGAACCCAACTTTCAAAACTTTAATTTTTGAGGTAAAAGGCAGTTCTAGCAAAGGTCCCCTCACCTGCTTGGAAGTGATCGATATAGTCCTTGGATATAACATGGACTATGGGTGGAAGGCTGTTCATCCCCAGTTTACATCTTCATTTTAAATGGACCAAGTCCCTCCTTGAGCCCTGCTGCTGCTGTCAGGCGTGTGTGACAGTCATGAGATATTGCTGGAAAAAAATATAAGAATCATAGAATCATTCAGGTTGGAAGAGACCCTTGGGATCATCGAGTCCAACCATCTCCCCTACTCTACAAAGTCCTCCCCTACACCATATCCCTCAGTACCCCATCTAAACGTCCCTTAAACACCTCCAGGGATGGGGACTCAACCACCTCCCTGGGCAGCCTGTTCCAGTGCCCGACCACTCTTTCTGTGAAAAATTCCTTCCTAATGTTCAATCTAAACCCACCCTGTTGGAGCTTGAAGCCGTTCCCTCTCGTTCTATTGTTAATTACCTGTGAGAAGAGCCCAGCACCAACCTCTCTACAGTGTCCTTTCAAGTAGTTGTAGAGAGTGATGAGGTCTCCCCTCAGCCTCCTCTTCCTCATACTAAACAGTCCCAGCTCCTTCATATGATTTGTCTTCCAGGCCCTTCACTAGTTTCGTTGTCCTAATTATTATCCTAATAAATTTCGTTGCCCTAATAAATATTATCTCAGTATTTTTTTTCCAACAAAGTTACTTCAGTCTATTCCTCCTTCACCCAACAGTATTCCTGTGAAGTGAAAAGCACAGGGAAGCCCAGCAAACGCCAAAAAAAGAAAAAAAAAGGCGCTCATTTTAAGCGAAGGCACCGTCCCTCGAGCCGGGAAACGCGGGTTTGGCCACCGGCACCGCCGCAGCCCCACGGGTCACCTCAGCCCGGCCAGTCCCGCTCCTTCTCCCGCTGCCCCGGCCCGGTTACAGACCGCTCGGGACGGTGACGGTCTCCCTCAGCCCGGCGGGGTTGTCCCCTCACGGTGGCGGCCGCCTCAGGGCCACCTCAGGGCCGCCCGCGGCTCGCGCCCGCGGCGGGAATCACCTCAGGCCAGCCGCCCCGCCCGCCCCCCCCGCCGCCCGCGGGCG